TGGGGGGCCGGCCTGGGGCCTCAGGGGGGCTGGGGCAAGGGGAAAGAGGTGGGGTTGTGCCTCACACGCAGGGAGGCTGGGTATGCCGGAGGGTCCCTCACCCTGTGCTTCTCCTTCCTTCAGCTCCCTGGCATCACATCGAGAACCTGGACCTGTTCTTCTCTCGCATATCCTTTTGCAGGGCGGCATTCACCCCCCGCCGCCTGAGCTCACAGTGCAGGTGGGAACACTGGGTTTGGTGTCATTCGGAGCTGGGGCAGCGTCTGCCGCTTCCCGTAGGATGTTACACGGCTCCAGAGGGGCTGGCAGAATCTCCATGCCTGTGGGGTGCTGTCACCTGACACTGAGGGGACAGACAGGTTCTTTTAAGGATCCTTGGTGGACTGATGACGGTACTAAGTTGTAGTTACAATTAAAGCTTTATTAACAGGATTTTTTTATTAGCATAGCATTTATAATCAGAGTAGCACAGGATTTCTGTAAGCAGAATCAGTGTAGTACGATTTTATAAGTAGCATAGTGCGGAACTTCATAGCACCGCTTAGCTTATGGTTTCTAATCACCTGGACTCCATGCAGATCGGGTCATATCTTAATACATGGTTTGCTGCATATACCAATCAGAATCTAGACTCAAAAATCATATAAAAGAATACGAGTTACTCAGTCCTTGGAGGAATCAGATGACAGTGGGAGCATCCCTGGCTACTGGTGGGTCCTGGGTCTCACTGTCCAGCAGCAGTCCTGGTCCAAGTTCCCACTTAGGACTTGTAACTCCATGGTTTTTTGGACAGTGCTCTGGGTGCTGTTCCACTTTCCTTTCGTGTGAGGGGGTCATCACCACCATCGGGTTGGCCAGATGCCTGGGACCTTCAAGGCCGGCACAGAAGGCAGTAATCAGCCTGGAACCCGGGAATCTTGAGGCTGGTAGGGAGGGGAAGAATACATCCATTTAGTTTGTCTGCTTGGTTCACAAGACCTTCAGGGCCTGATAATGAGGGAAAAGGAACTAACAGGTGACCCACTCAGTCACCGAGAATGGCTGCTGGCCTTATAAAGTGGCGTTAGTTATGCTAACCACATTACCGTGGTCAGGGGCAGAGGGTACGGGTCACAGGCGCTAGGGGTATTAAATGCATTTTTGCCTGTCTCTGTGTTGTCCCACCCTTGTGTGGCCTGAGGGCAGGCTGAGTTTCTGCTCTGTGCTGGGACAGACCCCCTCTGGGTGTTGGGTGAGGCGAGAAAAGAGCTTGGATGCAGCCAAGCCCTGTTATCCCAGCTGTGCTTTACTTGGGTGGAGTGTGTTTTCCTGCAACGGAGAACCAGCTTGCTGATGAGTAGGGGTGGGAGGGGTTTTCTGGTGGTAGTGGAGTGGGACTTAGGCTGGGAAGCCATGGATGTCAGTGGGACAGAAGCCTCTCCATCCTTCATCAGAGAGAAGGGGTCTCCAGACTGTTCTCCTTGACTGTAGCTTTCACGTCTATAACCTGCATCAGAAGAATGGCTTCACCTGCATGCTCATTGGAGAGATCTTTGAGCTCATGTAAGTGCAGGTTCCCCCTCTGTTGTGGCTGTGACAGCTGCTGGGGAACAGCCACAGGCATCTGCCAAGCTCCTGCAGCTGGGTGGGTGGGAGGCTTCCCTTTATAGGTGTCCTGTCTCCCCTTCGTTAGGGTTTTCCGTGACCCAAACCTGCATTCCACTTCGAGGAATTGGTGCCTTTGAGCTTTCCTGCTGCCATGACTATGGGAATGCATCTCTGTGATGCATGACCTTGGCTGCTTTGCATTTTGGGGGGCAGAAGGGTGATTCCTTCATGCCTGCTCCCTTTTTTTCACAGGCAGTTCATCTTTGTGGTGGCATTCACCACCTTTCTTATCAGCTGCGTTGATTATGACATCCTTTTTGCCAACAAAGCAGTAAATCACAGCCAGCATCCCAGTGAGCCTATTAAGGTGACTCTGCCAGATGCATTCCTGCCTCCAAATGTCTGCAGTGCAAGGTAAGGGCAGTGGAGGCCGTGTCAGCCACCGCTTGCTCTTTCTCAGGTACTCAGGGCACCTGCCCAAGCCTGTCTCCTGCTACTTGCCTCTTCTTGCTTGCAGAATCCAGGCAAACAGCTTCCTCATCTGTATCTTGGTGATAGCTGGCGTTTTCTGGATCCACCGGCTCGTCAAATTTATCTACAACATTTGCTGCTACTGGGAGATTCACTCTTTCTACATCAACGCCCTCAAAATCCCCATGGTAAGTACCTGGGCCAAGGGCCGCGTGTGGGGCCGCTGAGGGCCGCGGGAGGCATTTGCTGAGTGGTGAGCAGCAGCTCCCCTTCTCTCCTCTCCGGGAGATCTGTACTGCTCTTCTGTCTGCTCCATAAGAATGTCTCCTTTCAGCCTTTTCTCCAGCAACCAGCTTATTTTGTGTTAACCCCTCTCTGCCCAGCCTCTCTGCCTGCTGGCACACGCCTCTGCCATCTGCCACCCAATATGTTTGTTCTTTGGTGATGGCCTTTTCTGTGATGCCTCCCAACAAAGGCGGCATAAGCGAGGATATCCTCGTACCTCCCTGGCTTGTGGACAACGTCACCTTCCCTGTT